GGTCTATATTTCCCTGTAACGTGTTGCTTACATTTAAGGCATCCCGATCCGAGTAGATCAAGCATGTGTCGTCTGCGTAAAGCGCCATTGATGTGGGACTTAAGGTGGGGATGTCTGCCGTGTATACATTAAACAATGTGGGAGACAAAGGCGACCCTTGAGGTACACCTGCTACAATTGATCGGGCGGACGAAAGAGTGCTATTAATTTTAGTACGGAAGGACCTTTCTTGCAGGAAGCTACCAATGATTTTAGTCAAACCACTAGGGATCCCAAAACGGGCTAATTTGACTATTAGACCATCATGCCAGACCTTGTCAAAAGCTTTGGCTATGTCAAAAATAATCATCCCGGTGGACTCCCGTTTACTTAGAGCGGTTTGTATCAGCTGCGCAGTTCTGGCTAGTTGTAGTTCCGTGGAGAGATTATCCCTAAACCCGAATTGTTCGTCAGGAAGTATATTTAGGGCATTTACCGCTGTTTTAAGCCTAGTCAGGATTACACGTTCTGCCAATTTCCCCATAGTTGGGAGCAGACTGATAGGACGCCAGTTCTGCGGAAATGAAGGATTCTTGTCCGGTTTAGGAAACACTACGACTGAGGCCAACTTCCAGGCCTTTGGAAATTCGCCAAGCCTAAGCATGCAATTGATGATGTTAACAATGCATTGGATTGCATCTTCTGGAAGATTACGTAGGCATTTGTTACTGATATTATCATATCCGGGTGCCGATCTGGTCTTTAGACTCGAAATAATACATTTAATCTCATCTCTGGAACACTGTAAGATGCTTTCATCTGACATCAGGTTCCTAAGATTAGCAGCCTCTTCGGCAATATTTTCTTCTACCAGAGAATTATAGTCACTATCAGTATTGGGCTGAAATTGCAGCTCCAAAGAATCTGCAAAGGCCTCAGCTTTGGCTATGTCTGAGAAAGCCATGCCGGTAGCTACAAAAATAGGCGGCACTACCGGTTTACGTTTAAGCCTAAAATACTTGTTCAAAGCCCAGAAGGTTTTATTACCTGTATCAATTCCTGAAAGAAATTCGCACCATTTATCATTATTATATTTGCCAATTTTTTTCCTGATTACATTAGAGAGACGATTGGCTTCTCTTCTTCTCACAGGATCTCCAGTTATTTGAGCAAATTTTCGAATCGCATTCCTTTGTCTAATGATTTGTTTGATGTAATGCGGCAGATAAAAGTAGTTACTTGGTTTTCTGGTCCTGGTGGTGGAGCTATTATCCAATGCCTCCTTAATCTTGAGAGTGAGTTTTTGGATACAGTCATCAAGATCCTCAGAAGTTACTGGCCAATTATTTATATTTGAAATATCAACCTGATTCTTAAATGAGTCCCAGTTAGTGGTTATGTACGTGAGATTCATGTTGATTGCTGGACAATTTTCAAGAATAAAAAGAACTGGTTTGTGATCCGAGTCCAGTTCATCAAGGACCTCTACGTGCACATTCGATTCTAAGTTATTTGAAATTCCGAAGTCAATGACGTGGCCTGTGATTCTGCCATAATGTGTCGGTTCACCTGGCGCATGAATCTGCCATAAGTGTTCAGTGGCAAGCCCATCAATATCCCTGCCAGCTCTATTTGAAGTTCTGTCACCCCAGCTGCTATGATATGCATTTAAATCGCCCGCTAAGAAAGTAGGTGTCTCGTTGTTGAGGATAACCTCAAGTTCATTAGGGAGAATTTGCAAACTCGGTGGCCTGTATGCTGACACAAAATTTATATTACCAAGTTGGCTTTCAACCAGTACAGATGTTGTTTCGAGCGATTGTTGGTTGCAAATTGTAGCATGATGTTTAATGCCATATTTAATCACGATGGCTGTGCCACCACCTCTTCTTGAGTTTCTGTCTGATCTGTAAACAACATAATTGGGAATTTTAAAATGGATAGCAGGTTTCAGAAATGTTTCTTGGATCAACATAATGTCAATTTCAAAATCATGCAGGAATTGGATGACCTCATGTTTCTTGTTAATAATGGAATTGGCATTCCACGTCACAATTTTAAGTCGATATGATGACAAACTCATTAAGAAGCTAGGGTTGGCACTAAACTTTGTAACAAGGACTCCATCATAGTTTTCATCATTGTACTAAGTTGTATCTGCATATTATTTAAAAGCTTCTCCATGTGGGAGGTTAGCAAGTGGGAATTGGACGAAACTTGCTCAGCTGTACTTCCCTTCTTCAAAGCATCGGCATAAGAAATTGAAGGCTGCACTTTAGAACTGACCGTAGAAATTGGTGTGGAGACATTCTTTTTCTTCAGCATTTGCGGAGCGCAAGGGCATCCTCTATAGTTGGCTGGGTGGCCACCACCACAGTTCGAACAAATCGGGGCAACATCGCGTGGTTTTGTACATTGTTGGTGATGGTGTGAGCCCTCACACTTAACACACTTTGGTGTGGCTCTACAGTTAGTAGCGACATGCCCGAACTGCTGACAGTTATGACATTGTGGGGGACCTTTTAGAGGGCGCTGGGCTTCAATAATCACCTTTAAATGACAAATACTGGAAACATTATATATGTTCTTCTGGTTAGATGGCAGTCTGATTTTAACTAAATTGCTGGCAGCTTGTCTAGTTTTTAAAAAATGGCATTCAAAGATACTAAATCCTTGGCCTGCAAGATCTTCTTTAATATCATCTATACTCTGACCCTCTAAACCTCTAATTATTATATTGAGGTGTTTTTCGTCAGGAAGAAAGTGGGTGTGAAATGGCTCACTAATCTCATTTAGATATCTTGTCATCTTGCGATGGTCATCTATGGTGGCAGGAGTTATTTGTATGCCCAAACGGACCTTCTTTGCCTCGCTAAAATTAATGTTTCTTGTTAAAAATTGCTTGACTAAAGAGTTCCACGTGTTGGTTCGACGGAGTACAATAGGTACAACTTTGCCTACTTTTTTATTTGAGGTTACAGGTTGTAAAAGATTTCGATTCGTTATATTGTCAGAAACAATACCATTAGTATGGATGTTTTCAGGCGTAGAGATCCGCTCAGGAGTTGGGAATTGAGAATTTCCTGTTGAAATTGACTTGACTGCTGTTGAATTTGGTGCTGTTTTAGGAAGTCTTTTCTTTACAACTGATTTCACCTGTTTGGTCGATTTGACTTTTGGATTATATTTCGGGAAATCAATTTCAGTATCTTCAATCTTAAAAGGGTCAGGCTCCGCAACAGAAATTTCTATCTCCATTTCTTCCTCATTAGAGCCAGCGGAGTCATGGGGGGAGCTAACTGGAGAAGGCGGTGAAACTTTCTTCCTTTTATTATTTAATTGATTACCAGTAGCTACTGGGTTTTTTAGCTTCAATTGTTTTTCCAAATCAGAATACCGGTCCTGGAGCATTTGAAATTGCTGCCTAAGTTTGATATAGTTGGCTTGTAGAATTTCATTGAATTTTTTAAGTTCAAAGAGTTCCTTCACACTGATGTTGACCATTTCAGTTGTGATTTCACTATTAGCCTGTAGAGGGATATCAGGGGGCTCTGATATATCTACTTCATTAACCTTTTCAGACATGGTGTCACTAGTTCTTCTCTAACTGTTGATCCAATAAAGTAAATATCCAATTGTACCTCCCACTTGGGAGGGCCCTTAAAATCTTGAGTTGTTCTTGAGTTCTTAGGGAGCTCGTAAACTTAATTGTCAAAAGTATTTAATATCTTTTCTGTGAATTAATAGAGTAGGAAATTTGAAACTTCTGTCAAAAAAAATTTAAATTTAATTTTTAATAAAATTTTTTCCAGCACAGAAAAAATTGAAACACAACTTCAGCTTTGTTTTCTCCGACCAATGTTATACTCTATTGTATATTAAATCAAGCCATTGTTTCGGCAGTAATATAATTTCCATTTTATATTATTTTTTTAAAATCGATCAATAAAATGCAGTAGTAAGCCACTTTAGTGCTATGATGTAATACTATTTTTTATTATTAAAAGATTTGCGGAGCTAACTTTTTTTGCTCTAATTTGTTACTTTTGTATATTCTATAATAATATTTTATACAAAGGTATAAGTTCTGAAATACTGGGATTAACTTCTAGAACAGCTGTATGGTTTACTTCAACTTCCATGTTCTGTATTTGCTGTATTTACTTACTTCCATGTTCTATTCCACTGTATATTAACAATAATTCAAGCCACTGTTTCCAAAACATCATGGATAAAATAATTAATAATATAATAAATATAAATCCATTTTTATATGGTTGCTATCTATATGAAACCTTGATCGGCTTAACTTTGTGATAAGCTTTACGTAAAATTTTATTCGAATAGCTCAAAAACTGAAGGACTAGGACTAGGAAAGTCTTAGAAAAGACTGGGGAAGACTATATTTTAATGGAATGGACTCAGTTAATAAAAACTGAAAGACTAGGACTTGGAAACTCTTAGAAAAGACTGGGGATAACTATCTTTTAATGAAAGACTCAGTTAACATATCTATTTAAAAATATAAATCTGCTTTTATATGACTGCTATGTGTTTATGGAAAGTCTTAGGAAAGTCTAGGGAAAACTATCTTTTAATGAAGACTCAGTTCACATAACTATTTAAATATATGGATCCATTTTTATATGGCTGCTATATAAAACTTCGTTCGACTTCAATTTGTGCTAAATCGTTATGTAGAACTTTATTCAAGTAGCTCAAAAACTAAAAGACTCGGGTGTGTATTTAATGGAACAGAGATTAATAAATGAACAGATAAACAGTCAGACAGATGCTTCATCAGATTTATGTTATAACGTTGGTTAATAGCATAGTATATGCTTGTATACATCAATGTTTTCTAAGGTATCCCTTATCTTGTTAAAAATATCGTGATTTCATTACTTTTTGAAAAACATAAAAAAATAAGATTGAACTGCTATATATTTAAGAACACTAAGATATATTAATTTTTTTATTGCTACAAAAAGATTTCAAACAAAACTATTGTAAACTCATATCAAAATAAATTTTTATTTTTCGTTATATATATGTATGTGATTTACATAAAACAATTAATAAAAATCTATATTGTGATATATCAACTTCTAATATATATCTAAAAAACATAACAAATATTTGATTTGTGCATACTCATTCGTCACCCTCCAATATTCTGTATATTAGAGCCAAAACATCTTGTTTAAAGCGAAGATTTTTTTTCCCAGTCATCTCTTTCATGTATGGAAGCAAACTATTTAAAAATGATTGATCAGCATCAGGGGATTGCGGCAGAACCTCACGTCGATTATGAGGTTCGTATTTTGATTTTATAAATTCAGCGAATTCTGTTAAATCAATGGCAGAAGAGCGGGGCCTCTCTGGCTCTATGGGAATACTACTTATATTTTGTGCATTACTTATATCGGGGCAACGACGCTGTTCCACATTAACAAAATCTTCCTCCATTTTGATCACAGCCATTTGTTGTGGTTGGCGCGGTTGTGCGTGCGGGCGATGCAATGTTCTTAATTGCAGTTTCTCAGGTGGCTGGGGTCGTTGGCATGTTTGCTGGACTTGCTGCACTTGCTGTTGTGGTTGTTGCTGTTGTTGTTGGACCGGTTGTGATTGTAATTGTGCTTCTAATTGTGATTGCAATTGTGTTTGTGAAATAGATTCTTGCTCCTGGGTAGTTTCTTCATGCAATGCAACAACAACATCATCTTCGGCTATGGCCACATCTGAACTAATGGAATCTTTGGTTTCTTCGCTACTGACTAAAGGCAATGGCATGTTTTGTATCTGTGTCATTGGTGGTGCAGAGGTTTTTCGTCCAGCCACAATATTTGTACTCGTAGCCTTGGTGCGTGTTTTAGTGTAGGGAACTAGAAATTGTAAATATTTGAATAGGTAGTATTTGCGTTTACCACGTCCTGTAGATGTGCGTGATGGCTTAAGTGAACGTAAAAAACTGCTGCGTATTGTACGCCATTTTTCACGGCAATTCCGTACTGAAATGAAAAGAAAGAAATAACGTTTTTTATAAGTATAAAAAAAATATTTGTATTTAGAAATGTAAATTATTATATATGATTTGAAATCTTTGGTATTTGAATAACTGAAGAATGTGCGTAAAATAATGTTCTTTCAATATATCTCTGTTGTAAAAAGCAAATTAGACATCGAGCTAATATAAACCTCAAAATTTTGTAGTCCACAAAGTTCGATATAAGTGATATCTTTTATATAGGGAAGTAAGTGTATGTAAACTATACGATAGTTAATATTATAGAGATAAATGTTCCGCGTGCTCGTGTCTAAAGCACTTTTAATTAATAGTGTTTTTGATCACTGTAACAAATATTCCATGGAATTATGATAATGTGATTTTACTGATGTATAGTTTGAACTTAACATACAATAAAGAAATGTCCCATGAGGGACATTCATTTGAATTTCGTTTGTAGATGAGAAGGATTTTGAGGAAGAACTCTTTATTTGATAAAAAGTACTAGTATTGAACTAGTATCATTTTCCAGCAACACCATATCAAACGCCTTAGCGATATCAACTAAGGTGATTTCAGTGGATTACACTTCACTGAGAACTTTTCTTATATCTTGAGAAACTCTTGGTCTACTAGAGATCAGTGGAAGAATTTACTTGGACTCGGAACTGCTCTTTGGGAATGATCATGATAAATTTTTGAGACTTGCCAATATTAAATTTTCACGGTATTTTATCAACAGTAGGCAATTAAAAATTTTTCAAATATATGTTACTGATTCCATAAAGTCCAAGACATTTTAATTTTCTAAATACCAGATGAATGTACGAATTTTTTCCTCATTTGTTAAAAGTATGGTTTCTATTTTATGATTACTAAAATAACAATCATCACTCTATTAATATTCTTCTTTGAAATATCCTAATAATAGGCTAATAATATCAAGAAAAATGTACGAGTAATTTAATATACGATAATATATCCAAATTGGGAATTAAGTAAAACAATTTGGGAAGTTTCAAGTCTATAGTTTGACTTGAGATTACAATCAACTGATAAGTAACAAATATTAATCATAAAAGCTAGTGTAGTTATTATACATATAATATGATCAAAAGATAATGACTTTATAAGACAGTACTCCAAAAAAAAAAAATAAAAAAATTTCGAGAGAGAAAAAAGTGCTAAAAATGTATTGATTCAAAACTAACTACATTAATGTGGGACTTAAATCTGCTGCGTAGAGTCCAAAACCGAAAACTTTTAGACAAAATCAGAAGAACTGTCGCTGCCATATTAGTAAAAGCTCTACTCATGACTCTACGGCATTATTTATTCTGTCCACGCAATCATCGCCAAACTGATGTAATCAGTCTTCACATCATTTGCATATGTTTTATAATGAGAATAGGACACTGTTACGAACTAAGCTATAGCCCTATAATCGTTCCCTATACTGATTACGGTATTATGCATCTCCTACTTGATCGCAAGTTCTGTACTCATATCCGTATACTGGAAAGAGTGGGCTAGAGGTAACACAATGATAGCCGACGAAATCATTTCTATAATGAAATGATAGCATGATGTTTAGAGATTCCCCTAAGTGGCTCAAAATTTAAATAGCTGAAAACTTAAAAAGTAGCCTCAACTAAAACTATTTTTTCGATTGTGGGATTGTTGTAGCATTTTTCTAGTAAAAGTTGCTGCTATATATTTGGAAATTTAACGACTTTGCCCCAACGGATATTCATATTAGAAAAATTCACACTTTTAGTAACAGTCAAACGGCTATCATGTTTCTCGTAGAATAAAAAACAAAGTGAGATATTGATGCATTGAATAGTTAACCTGAAATTGGTTAAGAAACATAAAGACATGAAAATTGTAAAACCAATTAATTCGTGAGAAGTGACAAATGGCCAGTTATATTGAATAAATGGCACACCTATAGAATTCAAAACCAGTTTCATCCATTTCTTGATTTTATTTGGCTGTGCTCTTAATATGTTTCTGTTGAAAGTTTGAAGTTTATTTATTTTGAAAATGTGGAGATTAGTTAGTAATTAGTAATTAGTTTACTAATTACTTGTTAGTTAAACAAACAGATAAACAAAAACATAAAGGGCTATAATCAAATTAATTAATCTTTTCGAATAGACTGAGATCATATGCTTTATGTAGAACAATGTTTTCCAACATCCTATTAAATTCGTTACAAATAACTTGATAAACTTAATACATCTCTCATTTGCACTGGTGTTAGGGTTATAAAAAAAGGAATAAAATTAGAATGCTTTTAAATATATTTTGTAAGAAAGCACTATATTAATATTTATATCGCATCTGATTACCAAGTTAAATCATAATAAAATGTTATAATTATTAATAAATAATGAAATTTTCTCACTGTCTTCACTGTCACTGTCAATTTTCTCCAATTGAATCTTGGATCATGTTATCTGTCTGTTCTTATATCGATCAATTATCGACAAAAATTGATATGTTCTCACAGATTTTAATGGATCTTAGATTATTTTTATGCCTAAATGATGTAATGACTCGTTAAATCTTAAAATGATCTGCTGTTAATAAAACATTCTATAAAATTTATTATAAAATTCTTAAATAAACAATGAATCTACACTCCATTAATTTTTTTGTTTTTGATAAATACAATCAATATAAATAATGTTCAATATTGTCAGGCAAAAACAATGAGTATAAATTCATTGGAATAATAAAAAAAGCTAAAGTATCAAATTCTTTTTATCGCGATTTATGAAGCAAATGTTTTTCTTAGCAAGATATTTATTGATCAATAAAAAATTTTTCCTTCCGATATGTCTTGTTTCGTCTCATGGAGTATAGTGTATAAGATAGTCTTCAATGTCTCGAAAATAGGTTTATGATCGATATGGTTCTAGACACAATACTGGCATTTTAAAAAAGCCTTAAATCAGCCTATAGAAACGTTATAACTGCAGAGATTTCATTATGACTATTAATGATCTATATCCAAGGCCTTTGCAATAGAGGGCGCAGTAACAGCTTAAATAAATTAAAGAAAAGTCTGACTTAGAGAACATAAGATCTTGTCTAGAACTGTTAATACCTTAGTTCGGTTATATATAAAAGCAAAATATTCACATAAATAATTATAAGTAATATTTCTTATCATTTGATATTTATATATAATGTGTGAAACTAAATTCATGTACATTTAATATAAAAAATATTCAAAATTTATAACTTGAGAAACGCATTATATTCTTTTACCATGTGAGATTAGAGCATGATATGTTACCGAGTGTGCTTACATGAGTTGTTGCAATTATTCTATTGTGTGTACTACGATCACACAAAACTGTCGTAGCGCAAGAACACAATGAATCAGCTCATCAAACACTGTACTGTTTCGATATTGTCTAATGCGATATTTTTCAGTTCCAGAAGTCAAAATTTTCACTTTATCGCTTCACGATCACTGGGTTCACTGACATTTCGTTTATGGAAGAAGGTGCCGAAGCGGGTATAGTTGGAGCGGGCAAAAAGCATTGGGAAGCGCTTGGCAAAAATACAAGCATCTCCCAACGGGAAATATAAGTGATATTTAAATGTGTATCCTTCAATATTGAACGGAAATAGCAGGGAAAAAGTATCGTAATACTGACAGACAGCCAAGCAGCTATCGAGGCACTAAACTCGCATAAGGTGATCACAAAACTAGTGCAAGAATACCTTGAAAAGTAAACTTGCTCGGCGTATTAAATCACGTGTTTATTCTTTGAGTAGTGGGACATACTGGCATACGCGGAAATGAATAGACAGACAAATTAGCTAGAAAAGGAGCAGCCATGTCGCTGATGGGGCTAACACCTTTCTGTGGACAAGGACACAGTACCCTCTCTTATAAAAATGAAGGAGAACCAGCATAAAAAAGGATACTGGGTTTATCTACCAGGATTAGCACAATCCAAATCATTTATTGATATTTGTGACAATAGGAGATACCAAGATTATATGAACTTAACAAGAGAAAAACTTGTAATCATGACAGAAATCTTAACAGGGGACTGTAAACTAAAATACCAACTTACGAAACTGGGCATGTATACGAATGCAAACTGTAGACTCTGCGAAGAGAATGATGTGTCAGCCACACATGTGATCTTAAAATGCACTGCGCATACATGGAATAGACTCTTGGGAATGTATATCCTTACGGAAGAGGCAATAAAATTCTGCAAAACAGGCTATTTACCACTTTTTTTGTTGACGCAATAGGTGTTGCAAACTCATTCTGAGCCCAAAAGTGGGCATAATAGACTCGATGGTCGTAGTGCCACGTTTTTAATAATAAATAAAATACGGTCGGAGTATATTTTGCTGAATAAGTTGTAGATAATTACTCCATTAGTTTACAAAAAAGGAATGAAGTATTGATTCAACTGCTGGTGTAGTTGTATTACTTCTAATAGGGCCTCATTTAAGACGAGATATTAAATTTTGACTGATTGACGATTTTTGGAGTCACACGAATATTATAACAAAAATATTTGGCTGTAATGATAAGGTCGTTAACTGTAAGTTAAATCCTAAATGCCAAATATTTTACTGCTCGTATTCATTATGTATAGAACAGTATTAGAATAATTTATTATAATTGTAACAACAAATTTTTATACTATAAATCGCAGACACTATTTAATTAAATAAAAAAAATTTATATAAACAAACAAAAATTTTATCTAAATACAATTAAAATTTTAAAAATCGTATAAATACATATTTCTTTTCTGCATAGACTTTTCTGAAGAGTCAACAAATAAGTTCATAGCAACACATAAGAATTACTTGCAAATATTAGCATGACGTGTCAAAAAATGTTGTTTATTTAACAAAAATACTATCCAGTTCTTTCCTAAAATATATATTTGCAGAACAACGAAAAGTACAAGCTTATATGCAAGCTTATAAGCTATTTTAGAGAACAAACAATAG